TGGAATAAGTTTTGAAATAACAATCGTTTCGCATGATAAGACCCTTATTCATCGTCTGGTGTCGTTTAAAGACATTTGAACAGTTTGCACTGAAACTGTCTTTTGGACCTTGAACCGTTTGGACCCCATTGAAGTCCATTATATGGAGAAAATCCTGGAATGTTTTCATCAAAAACCTTAATTTCTTTTCGACTGAAGAAAGAAAGACATGGACATCTTGGATGACACGGGGGTGAGTAAATTATCAGCGAAAGTTTTTTCAAAAGTGAACTAATCCTTTAATCTCGTCAGTTATTTTTCTTCTCCACTAAATGTGTCTTAATTTAGGAATGTTTAGAAATTAGTGATGGAAAACAAGACATTTTTTGCAATTCTGTTGACAAATAATAAACATGAATCAGTTTAACACAGTTGTGTATTGGCAGGGAAACCCGTCGGTGTGTTTGAGCGTCACACACTCGCTGTCTAATTGCAGGAAACACAGAAACACAACATTGATTCAGTCCGGTTGAGGTTTGCCTTCATTTGTGCTTCCTAACAGAAAACACTCTCTCCTCTGACCTCAGAGCTCATGTGATCATGTGGAGTCTCCGAAACACATCATTACTCGCTGTGAGGAAGCGCTGGTGTGAGGATCCGGCGTACACACACACACACACACACACATCTGGAAGCCATCGCTGCGTTACACCAGGACTCAGTTTAACTCTGAACACACACTCGTGACGGCACAGAGGAGATGATGGAGTTCAAATCAGTCCCATTTGGAAGGAGTTAATGATTGTTTTCATTGTTTTAGTTAAATATCTGTCAGTGAGTTTACATAAAGTGCCCTATTACACTATATTAAAGGCTCCTGATGTTGTTGAGTTTCATCCAAGATCAAACACACTTTATTTCCTCATAATCTCCACTGCAGCTTCAGCTCTTTCCTCTCTCTAAGCCCCGCCTCTCTGAGAGCTGCTCTGCTGTGATTGGTCAGGAAGCAAACGCTCATTATCATATCTTGATCAGTGATACGAACAGTAACGACGGCGTGGGTTTTACCGTATCAGTCTCACGAACAACACGAGCCGAACTCTTCCAGTCGCAGATACACTACAGTGTTTGAGGGCGGAGCTAAGAGACGCCGCTCAGCCAATCAACACTACAGGCTGCCATTATGCTAATGAGGTACAGAGTGCAAATACTGATGTTCTTCCTCAGTGTCTCGTTTTCCAGCACAGTGTGTGTGTGTGTGTGTGTGTTATAAGACCTGCTGGTCCCGAATCTCGAGGTTCTGGCTCATAAAATCAGTGTGTGGCTTCATGAATCTCTCAGACGCCGTGACGTGAACGCAGGTGATGCGTGAAGGTTAAGTTTAACTAATTCTACATCTGATGGCGTTTCCATACGCTTGACTTTATGACTCGACTGAACACACACACACACACACACAAACACATCATCAGAATATTTGCAACTTTAAATATAGCGCTGTGTGATAATGTATAAGTAAGATATATCAAGAATGCTGCAACTGATATATGATATAACTGTATCCGACACACACACACACTCACACACCTGTGTGACCTCTACTGGTCATGTCTCATTATGTCACGGTAGCAGGTGTGACATCATCAGTGTAACGTGGGAGGTGACCTTTGACCCAAAAGGTCAGGAAGGGGGTCAGTGGGTCAATGAGCAACACGCGGCGTTAAACACGCTCACAGAGACTGTCCGGTGTTTATACGGTCCAGGAACCGCTTGACGTCCTGATGGAGGACTACACCGTGTCTAGAGACAGAGATGTACGGCGACTCAAAGACTTCACTGATAGAATTAATCCCTGTAAATGAAAGTCAGTGAGATACAGTGGATCAAGTTTGATGTTGGCTTGTGAAAGTGGTTTAACGAGCTGTACGACTGAAGAATTTAAGATTCAAAAACTTAAAGTAACAGAATTTTATGTGTTTTGTTATGAGAAATCCCGTTTTACTCTAAAAAATCCCGTTTTCCTCAAATTCTAATGGTTGATCCACAGAATCGAGCGTTCAGTGCGAGTGTGTTCGGCTGCAGTTCCGAACGCTTCCACTAGAGGACTTCCACTCTTCGTTCATTTCTAACGCGTCATTTCCGACCGCGAGGAGCACAAGTGTGACTATTTTTACCACAGATTTCCATTATAAAGGCTAGATGTCTTACGGCAGAGTCTCTATCGTCATCACTGGCGGCCATCTTGGCACAGGCGGTTCTGTGGTTCCTGATGTAAGATGAGTGATCAGCACGAACACAAATACTCTTATCTCGTTTAAATCTTGACGGATTTACAAACGGTTCGGTTTCTCACAATCGTTATTAATGTGGTTATAATTCTGAATGATTATTTATTGATACACTTATTATTCAGAAGTGGGCAGTGTCATAACTACATCTATGACGTTTATAACAAACCAAACTGTTTGAAAATCGTTATTTAAAAAGTACATGCACCATTAAAACACAATGCTAAGAGTGAGCGTGCTGACTGTGGCAAGATGGCCGCCAGTGCGGACGTCGACCTCCATTGGCCAGCAGCGCGGGCGAGACGTCTACCCTATATCTATGATTTTTACAGGACCATTTAAACTTTATGAATCATGTCCATGATTTTTTATTTTTGTGTTCTCACAGCAAGTGCCAAAACATTTACCGAGTTTCGCCCCATTCCAATTTTTCGGTCCAAAATGGCCGAGAGCACCAGAGGCTTCATTGGCCAACGGCTGAAGAATAACTGTACGTTCTCAGTGTCAGGTGTGGTAATAAGATATATTATTAATATTAGAGCGGTTATAGATCTTTAGCAGCCCACAATAACATCACAGAGGACGTTCTCCTGTTTCTCGCGGTGTGTGTGTGTGTGTTTATATGTGTCCGCTACAGCAGATATGGAGCATAAGAGACGACGTGATAATGGATTTAAGAACTACCTGCTGTACAGAACACCGATGCGTCTGTCTCGGCCCGCGACACACACTCACACACATGCACAAATATTATCCTACACGCCGTCTGTGTTTGCTCTGCGCCGCGAGAGTGTGAGGCGCGGGTTACGCCAATAAAACATTACGAGTCTCAGGACTGAATGGGGCTCTTGTTGTAATGAAGCGGTAAAGCGCTTCCGGTTCAGTCGTCGCCTCGCGGTCAACTGTGCGTTCGGGGTTGTGCTCGGATATATTTAGGCCTGAGCTGGGCGAGTGTGTGAGATGAAGAGAGACGGTCGGTGTCTGTAACACTCACTTATGATTCATTTGCACAAGTCAGACCGTGAATATGAGTCTTCGAGAGACAGAGTATGCTTTGATAATATGCTTGCACAAGAACTTTCTCTAATAATAATAATAATAATAGGATTTTCTGTTGATCATGTAAAATCCACTGTGATTCAAAGCTATACACGCATGCAGAATCACAAACTCTCCTCGAATCAATGAATCAATCAATCAACGACTCAATGAATGAATGAACGAACAAACGAGAGTGTGTCTTGAGAAAAAAGGTCACAGAGTGAACACACAACATACACGTGATCACCATCAATAAAACAAACGGCAAAATACTACACTGATGAAACACACACACACACACCTCATACTGTGTGTGTTGGGTTCAGTCCAGTAGAAATGTTTTCTGAGTGTGTTTTCATACATTTCACAAACACAATCATCTGTACGTTCCAGAAACTCTGAGGTCAGTGATGGGTGAGTGTGTGTGTGTGTGTGTGTGTGTTTGAGAGAGAGAGAGAGTCTCTTAAAGTTCATTTTGAGATATTGTATTCAACAAATGATACACATCTACAATAAAGATCACACATTCACACACTAGAAAAGATTCTTACCGGGTCGTCGTGTGTGTGATTACGGGACCTTAGAGCGACAGAGATCAGCTCGTCTGAAGATTTTCCGGAAGATAGGGAGACTCTGCCACTGACACCTGTAAGTAAATGTGATTGTCAATCCCAAATCTTATCGTTTCAGAAATAATGACTTCCTTTAATCAGGTATTGCATTTGGATATTTATTTTTGCATGACTATTTTCTGCCAGTTTTTAGTTTAACCCTCATCCTAAAACTATACCTGATTTTTTGGGGTCCAGAAATAATATTTTAGTTCATTTTTATATTATTTTTTCTATTTTTAAATGCAATTTTTTATTTTTTATTAACCTTTAAATAGCTAGATTTAATCAATAAATAATAAATAAATGGTAATTTAAGCTTTCCTCAGATTATTAAATTCAAATTAAATTCAAAATAACTCACAATTTCATGCATAACCCTTTTAATTCATTTAAAAATATCTTACATTGTCAAAATTTACATTTTTTAATTACATTTCAAAATTTACGTTTTAACAAAATTTACATTACATTTAGTCAAAAGCACACATTAGACCCTCCAAAGAGGTCCTTTACAAGAGTCTTTGTCACCTCTTGTAGAAAATAATAATAATATGACATGATATTTCATGACTCTAGATGGTTTTAGAAGGGTTTATATGGAGTAAATGAGCTGTTCTGTTGGGTCCTAAAGTCAGCTATTCAGATGCTTTTTACACATGTAGACATTATAAAAACAAAATAAATGGTAAGGTTTTAGCATTTTAGTTAGAATTTTAAGCATGTTTAGGTTGTTCTATGAGTACTGAAACATTCCTCAAATTCCTGAGGGGGTCAAATTGACTCGTGATTGAAGGATTTGTCACTTTTTAAAATTTCAACCACAAAACTCCTCGAATCCCATCAATTTTGTGTGTGTGTGTGTGTGTGTGTGTTCATGGTTCAAGTGCGGGTCTTGGATCACTCAATTTAAAATAAATAATAAATAAAACAATTCGGGGTCAAAGTGACCCCAGGGACAAACGTTAACCAACTGTAGTCTCCGTCTGAACACACACGCTGCAGTTCCAGCATCCACCAGCAGAGGCACTGACGTCACCACCTCAACATCATAACACTGACACATCGATCCAAACATCTGTTTGACATGGCAGCTTTAATATTGATAAAAGCATGTGAAAGCAGCTCTGCATAATAATATTTTTGAAACATATACAAAAGGCCTTGTTCCCTAAACACAAGAGACTTTGAAAATCCCTGACATCACCAGGGAAATCAGTCTTGAAGACACGTCTGTTATTCCCAGTAATGAAGCTAGACTCCCTGCGTCTCACAAACCTGTAGAGTTCTGAACTCTATTCACATCTATACACACTCAGAGAGCTCTGCTAAACGCATGAAAGTGACACAATGATGTGAATAAAATAGATAAATTAGTGTAACCCTGATACAAGACAAAAATAAGCAGCCTCTGAGAGTGAATCGCGCTTGTTTACTATAAAAATTAATGATGTAACGTTACAGTTTTCACCACATGCTCTCATTTACACATATTTGGGCAAAAAATATTACTCAAAAATGGTCAAATGACAAAAAGAATCACGCACGCCAGTAAAAATAAACATTATACTCATGAACTGGAGAAAAATAAAGACAAAGTAATAATTACAATAAAGATTAGATAAGATTATCAGTCAAAAGAAACCTACCTCTCGAAGAGAAGAGACCGAACCGGAAGTCATGTTACCTCATGATGACATCACAATAATTAAAGGGGAAAACACTCATTTCCATCAGGTATATAAATGAACAAACTGTGTGAATTCCACTCAATGATTCATATAAACTCTATAATGGTATTATAAGTGTAGGCAACATGCAGATGATTATTATCAGGGAAAAACATAGGTGCATTTTTGCGATACAGCACATTATTCTTTATATAAAATTTGCATATCCCTGATTTGTAAAATGTAAATTTGTCACTTAATCAGAGTGGTAAAAAAACTAATAATTATGACTGAAAATACTTTTATAAGCAACTAGGGAATACACAGCACAACTTAGATATAAATGCCGCTATACTGGCATCTGGTGGCACACAGTGGTATTACATGTGGTTTTCTTCGTCTTCCATTTAAACAACTTTAACACAGTATTAAAGGTGCACTGTGTAATATTTAGCAGGGTCATAAACATAACTATGTGTGCAGTGGTGTATAAAGATCTTACGTAATGAACCATTATATGTTTATTAGCTTAGAATGAGCATTTCTCTACACACACACCGCGGTCCGCTTACATCCACATGTGTCTACGGTGGCCCTGAGCAGACAAGCGCGTTTCTTCACTATGTTGTTCTTCACGCAAAAGAAGCTGCTAAAGTCAGCGAGTAAAACACTGACACAATGCTGAACAAGTAACAATAATATTTGCAATAATATATCGTTTTACTGAACAATCAAGTAAACCGAATTTCTTAATTTATCTTTGTAAAGAAACCTCTCTGCTGTCTCAGACGATGACATCACTTCCTGTCGGCCACTGTAACTTCTTTTGGGTGCGATTCACAACCTCACCACTAGATGCTGCTAAACATTACATACTGCACCTTTAAGGGAAATTAATATGAAGATCTGATGCAAACGCTGAGAGAGAGTGCATTGAAGACTGTGTGTGTGATATTAGTGTTGATCACTCATCTCAGAGAGGCTTCAGCAATGCAGTTTATTTGATAGATCACTGAGAAACACACACTGTTGTCAGACAGACAGAGATTATGATCCTGGACGAGTCGATGTCATGATGACTCTAGTTGTGTTGGTATTTGGAGAGATGTGAAATCCATCCCAGTTCTTGAGGTTTGGCATGAGTGTGTGTGGAGGAACATCGCCCCCTAGTGGCCTCTAGTTTCACTGTTTTTACTGTGTTTTAGATCAGATAAACACAGCCTTTAAAAAACACTGGTCATATAATGTGAAGCTGTCGTCTGTGTTTGGATCCTCATGGGGGTTTGAGGTGTTCGTCTGCTGCCCACTGGCCCTGACACAACCACACACACACACATTATAACATTATAGATGTGTGTGTTCTTCAGAAAGGGTTAGTGAACGTGAACGTGTGTGTGTGTGTGTGTGTACCTGCTGTATGTTGAGTTTGAGCAGGTCTTCATACAGTGTTTTCCACCGCTCCACCTCAGCCTGGAGGTCAGATATCCTCTCTACATCCCATCTTTGAGCAAAAGAGAAAATCAGCACACATTTATCATATAAAATAAAATATTAAATCAAATAAAAAGTGACCTTCTGCTGGGTTCTGAGGGACAGTCGGAGTTCACAGTCCTCCTGACAGCATCCAACTCCTCCTGTAACCTGTTCACCTGCAGCTCCAGGGACTCCTTCTCACCTGACAGACCGTCCTTCAACCTGCACACACACACACACACACACACACACACTGTGAACGGCCCATTATATATATGCTAATTTTCAGCAGTTTAATTTTCAGCAAAAGAGCCTCGTTTACAAAAATCACATGACTTTGGCAGTTTGATAGATGCTCCAATTCACTGGTTCGAAACAAAAGATTCGTAAAGCGCTTCGAAAGTGTCTGTCGCTACGAGTGTGTGTGTGTGTGTGTGTGTGAACCTCTTGACGCAGCTCATCCACTGGCGCTGCTGAGCGCACAACCACTCGAACTGTTCGGCCGTTTCCCGGAGTTTCCCGAGACTCTCCGAATGCTCCCGTCGCAGTTCCTCCAGCGTCCTCTGGGTGGTGCTGTGCAGCTCTATCAGCTCCAGGGATTTACTGATCAAGCAGAATATATACTTTAATGGCTTATACACTCCATGAACACCATTCAATAAATATGCGTATATATGCGCATTTTATGCAGTTATTTACCTGTTTAGCTGCATCTCAAGGTCTTCCACCAGCTGTGCCTTTGACTGGGTCTCCTCGTGGAGCCGCGTCTCCAGGACCTCGGCTTGCTGGGCTCTGAGCTGGGCCTCCTGGTGCAGCTCGTCCACCAGGCCCATCAGCTGCGTCTCTGAGCCCTGCAGCCGCTGTAGGTCACCGCTCACCTGCTCCATCTGGAGACTCAGGAGTGAAGCGACTTTACACCTGTCCTCCGTCACAGCCTGCTCCTGCGCACACACACACACACACACACACACACAGGTTATACGGACTGCTGCCATTCTGCACAGTACATACTGTACACTCCATATGTTTTTAATAGTATTTATTAGGTAAGTAGAATATATCATGTCACAATATTTCACAATACAAAAATACAATATGCATCTTGTTGAATATAATATATAATAATGTAATGGGGGAATTCTTGTGTGTCCTGATAATGCCAAATCTCTGATGTTACCAGTAAAAAATGGCCAACGTTATTTTAAATATATCAGTGACAGAGATCATCATATTCATCTAAAATGATTCAGTTTCATGAATATTGTTATTCTGCTGTCTTTATTGTTCATTAAGTCCAAGTCCAAGACTATTCATTTACACACACAATGTAAGACCAAATTTACCATCTTAACCAACAGTACATTTTTTGTTAACCTTTTAATAATATTGTATTGTGATATGTATTGAATCATGAGAGTATCGTTACACCCTGAGTATTGCAATTTTCTACAATAAGCCTTTAAACAAAATAACTTCCCCTCCCTCTTGCATCTCCTCTCCTCTGATGATGTGGGCGGGGCAATAGCCACCAATCCACCAATAGCGAACCACAACCATCCAATCAACTCCCCACGGACAAAATCAAGCCCCGCCCCCTACATTTGTTCTTGTTCGAGAAGCCGTTTCACTGGTGTCATTGTGGTACAAGTTTCATCCAGTGATATTAAATTATGGTGTGTGTTCGGCTGTACCTGCTGAAATCTCTCCATCAGCTGCTGGTATTTGATGCTCATCTCAACGCAGATCTGCTCTTTATGACACACTCGCACTGAGAGAGCCTCCATCTCCACCTGCAGAGCCTGCTGACGCTCGCGAGACACCAGCAGCTCACGCTGGAGCGCCGCTGCAACACACACACACACACACACACACACACACAGAGAGAGAGAGAGAGAGAGAGAGAGAGAGAGAGAGAGAGAGAGAGAGAGAGAGAGAGAGAGAGAGAGAGAGAGAGAGAGAGAAGGAGAGAGAGAGAGAAGGAGAGAGAGAGAGAAGGAGAGAGAGAGAGAGAGAGAGAGAGAGAAGGAGAGAGAGAGAGAAGAGAGAGAGAGAGAAGGAGAGAGAGAGAGAGAGAGAGAGAGAGAGAGAAAGGCACAGACGCACTGCAAAGTTCTATTATTGCAAATTTTAACAAACATAAAATACAAAAACAGAAACTTTCACACAATAATCTAGTTATAATTTAACAGTCAACAAGAAAGATGATATAAAGAAGCCTAATTTACATAGGCAATTGAAAATTAGTTGCCAATAGATAGAAAAGAGAAACAAAGAAGAAAAAACAGGAATAAAAGCATATCATGAAAGAATTTTAAACATGGCACAAATTCTAGATGTTTTATAGCTTTCTTATTTACAGGCACACTGAAATTGTAATGAAGTACAAATTAAATTCTTGTTTGAGGTGTCAAAGCGCGGTTTACTTCTTGTATATTTACAATTATGGATATAAAACGTTCCAATAAATAAAAGGAGGTTAATGCTAAAAATTGGTTGTCATTAATATAAAACCCCAAAAGAACGTGTCTATAAGATCCCACACATTTTGTAGATTAACATTACTCCAGAAAGAGTGATCTTCAGTTTCAGATAAAATCTGTAAATCATTTTTAAGATATTTATATGATTTTTATTGTTTTAAAAAGTATTTCGGTGGGAGTGACCAAACAAACGACCACTTAATACCATCAAAAATGTTGTTCCAATAAGAGATGATGGATGGGGAACAAGGTTAAAAAGGAGTAAACAAAAAGTTTAATAATGCAAATAAAGAATGTAATTCTGACAAAATGGTGACAATTTACAATCAGGTCCCAAAACATGAAATAACACTAAAAATACTTAATTGTCCCCATTGACTTCCATAGTATGCTTTTTTTTTTTTTTACTATATTTTAGTCAGTGGACCAACAAGTGTACATCAAAATATCTTTTGTGCTCAACAGACCAAATAAACTCAAACAGGTTTGGAACAAACAGGGCAAAAAAAAAATCAGCAGAGAATTTCCCTTTTTTATCAACAAAGATTAACGAATATGAATACGTAATGAAAAATGTTTTTGCTCATTATTAGTTAATGCATGATGTATTGTCAAATAAATGACAGAATTGTAGCAAATAATATATTTAAACTAAAAAATGGTTGTTTTTAGCATTGTCCGGCTTCTTGAGTTTAGCTGATCTACATAATCTAAACAGCTTTAAAGTTGTTTTCATCGCTGAATCTGATCGTGTGACTCTTACCTTTCTCCTGAGACAGTCGGATGCATTTGGCAGTGAGATATTGAATCTGACCGTAATCTTCATCTCTGTCAACTCTGAAAAACCTCCTCATAACCTCCAGTGTGTGTTCGGCTGTGCTCGTGTCTCAGTCCTTCACTGCGGCTCCGACACACCATGATGATGGATCTCTTTCGCTTTAGGGCGAAGAAAACACTCTCTCTTTCTCTCCAAATATTCAAATACACACACGAAACCTGGCAGGAATGTGTCCCACTCATATAGCTAATGTGTATGACTGCAAGCAACAATTAAGAGGTCAAGCGTTAAAAAGGCACGGCAAGTTAAAGACATTTTTTAGATTATTTTAGTAAAAATGGCTAAAAAAATCTGAAAAACACTCATTTGTAAGGACTAAATTGCGTATAACTTTAGACCGAGATGGCACTGTTACTAAATAGGTGTTGTGTAGTTTTGTCTGAGTAAGGTGACAATGGGTGATGTTATGTTTGTATTCAATCAATTCATGTAATTAATCAATAGCCATTAGAATATTTTACATTTTTATAATAAATTGTGACCAAAAGGTGGCGCTGTTCTGAAACTTTTTGATTTCCTTCAGCATTTTACAGTAAAAAATTCTAAATGTCTGAGATATTTTGTATATATACTGTATATATTATATATATTATATATAGGCATTTTTGTATGCATATTTTTTTTCTTCCGCCTCTAGGTTAGTGACCCAAACATGTCTTCACACAAATGTGAATTATTAATGAAATCTGAGGTGAATGTGGCAGGTGTTTCTGTATCGCAGACGTGTTTCAGCGTCTCTCCCTCATTCCACACATACTGACAGAAGACACGAGCGGCCCACGGACATTTCAACCTTTACATGTTATATTATTTGAGTCTTCTGGTAATCTTTTGAGTGATGGAACTAATAATGGGGTCAGTCAAAAAAACAAAGGTCAGAGGTCGTGTACAACAAATGTAAAACTCTTCCTTTTCTTTCAAAAAATGGCATTTATTTAAAAAAGAACAGGAGGGGAAACAAAAGTTACAATGTTACTTGTGCCATTTCTGCACAGTAAGATATAAAATAACAGAACATATCTTCAAAGCATTAAAGTCAACATGAAACCGCATTTATAAAACATTCTAGCACTGAAACCGCACAGATTTCGAGAACAGGATGAAAAAGTACAGAGCTTGGGTTTATCCATGAGGAATCAGGAAGCGCCACGGCGAGACATTACAGGCAAAAATGCTTTTTTATTTTGCTCTTTTTGGCTTTCATAAAGTGTTTTCCAGAACAGTGGAACGAAAACACCTAAAATACATTTTTTAAGAGTGTATTTTAGTGCACTTTATCTATTACGGTCAGTAGATTTCTATTACAGGTCATGTCATTAAATTGTTTTTTTTCTCTACTACAGCAGAACTTACACACACCAAAACTTACGGTTTTATTCCTGTCCATATTGTGAAGGTTTTTACTGAGGGGTTTGTGAATATATCATTCGCCTGATTTTTATGCAATATTTATTCCAAAAAAAAAAAAAACATAAAAATCCAAAATGCCTTTTATTAAAACTTTTAACTCTAATATGTAAACAAAATTCTAAATTCTTGTTTGATTTTGTTGACATATTAGATTTAACGTACCCATATTTACGGAGGCGTATTGCATTCACTTGAAGAAAAAAAAATCTAATCTGTTTTTCTGAATTAACGAGTTAATTTTTCATGAGAAAAAAAAATTGCTCTGTTTTTCTGAATTAATTTTTCATGGAATTTTTTTTTGCTCTGTTTTTCTGAATTAATGAGTTAATTTTTCATGAGAAAAAAAAATTTTGCTCTGTTTTTCTGAATTAACGAGCTAATTTTTCATGGATTTTTTTTGCTGTTTTTCTGAATTAATGAGTTAATTTTTCATGTTTTTTTTTTTGCTCTGTTTTTCTGAATTAACTCGTTTTCTCACAAAAAATTAACTCATTACTTCAGAAAAACAGCAAAAAAAAAAATTTCTCATGAAAAATTAAACTCGTTAATTCAGAAAAACAGAGCAAAAACTTTTTTTTCTCATGAAAAATTAACACATTAATTCAGAAAAACAGCAAAAAAAAATGTTCTCATGAAAAATTAAACTCGTTAATTCAGAAAAACAGAGTAGATTTTTTTTTCTTCAAGTGAATGCAATACGCCTCTGTACATATTATACATAACATTTCAGAAAACTTTTTTTGTTGTTGTAATTGTTAATGTAATCAAGTTTTGGAAGTATGGTGATATCTATTCATTTTCCCCCCCATTCACTTGGGGTGTCTTGCCTTAAAAAGTATTACATTTTGATTAAAGATTACGAAGGCCAACTTTTTTTTATTTAATAACATGCACAGATGAACCATTGCCAAAAAGAGCAGAAATGTGTCATTTGAGTCCATGTTGACTTTAAACACTTGCTCAGAAAGTCTTTCTTTTTTACCTTAAATGATGAATCTGAGCTAGTCTACATGCTTTTAAATCAAACATGATCTGAGTTTCATAGTTTGCAGATAAACACTTCCTTTCTTGTTGCTTTTTCCAAAGAAACATGTCTGGGAAATCTCACGATGCCAAGCGCAAAAAACAAACACTAACAGAATCATTCGAATCGACGTGAACATGACGAGCTTCATCTACAATCTCACGTTTAATGCGACACAGGAACAAATAAATAAGTCGTGAATAAAAAGAAAGCTGGGAACAGAAAACACACCAGAGTCGTAAAGCTGAAAGTTTCCGCTCGGACGAAACAATCTGACGTCACCAGTGTTCGTTCGACCACCTGAATTCAGTCGTGCACGAAACTCAACAATCCAGAATGTCAGAAGGATCTAAAATGAACAAAATTATTGCACTGATTTCCTGCATCTATGAGTGGGCGGCGTTATAAATACGAGAGTGATGTCAGTAACAGATAACGAGGCGAGATGAGCTTCACCACTGCTGCCAGCTGAAGTCGTCGTTGGAGCCGAACACCAGGAAGAAGCCCAGGATGGTGGCGAAGATCACGATGTTCCCCGTCAGGACGAGCGCACACGCGCCCCACTTGATCTGCACACACACACACATCCACACAAACCTCACACACAGGGCTCCACATTAACACACGCCAACCCAACTGTGCCTTGAGCGAACTATCCCGCGTCCACAGATCCACATCATAACACTCACTGTAACCATGGAAGTGTGGCAGGAATAATCGGCTATAATGCTTTCAAGTAACATCACGTCGGTTTTATTTTGACATTATGAATACATTCGCTGCCCTCACATGTTAATCTGAACTAAAATAAACTACATTACATTTGATTTTGTCCGAGGAGCCGTTTTTGTTTGATATGCTCCTAAGAGGAGTCAAGTATCGCTCCATCACTGCTCAAAGTAGAAAAATATCAGACTTTATGATGCTAGTTAATAAAAAATTAGGGCTGTCAAACGATTAATCGCGATTAAATCGCATCCAAAATAAAAGTTTGTGTTTACATCATATATGTGTGTGCACTGTGTATAATTATTTTGTGTATATATGATATATATATATATATATATATATATATATATACACTGTGTATATATAGTGATATTGACTTTGACAGGACGGTCTGGTTATTCACCACAGCGAGAGAACGTGTGTGTGTGCATTTACCACAGCGGCACGGGCGAAGATGACGGGCAGCCCGAAGGCCGACACCACGATCCCCGTGGTCAGGAAGATGGCCAGCTCTTTACAGGCATTACTAGCCGAGTCGGAGTCGTCCACCACACGCCGGGAGATGCAGTACGGGATCGGGCAGAGGATGTAGAAGAAGAGCAGGAACAGAGGCCAGTACTCACTGCACAGAGACACACACACACACGTCACATGATGACCCCACCACACACACACTCAATCACACAGATCACATGACCACACACACACACACTCACTTGTAGACGGGCAGAGCGCAGCCCAGCATGAGGAACATGAGGCCGATCGCTCCTCCGAACGACAGGCTGATGAGAGCTGAGGAACAGCAGATTTACATTACCAACATATATACACACACACACATATATATATATAAATCAGTGCTGTCAAACCTATTGATCACATCTAGCATAAAAGATTTTATTTAATATGTGTGTGTAGATACAAACATACACACTCTCTTACACGCACAGATACATAACACACACACCATCTCTGTCTTTCACATAGTATACTCACTCACTCACACACTCTCACTGTATGTATTTTAAACTTTATATGACTCTAGAAAGTAGCCCACACATATATAGAGAGAGTGTGTATACATGTATGTGTTTCTGTGGAAAGGTTTATATAGAGGTTTTGTTTTCGATGGTGGATGTAAATCTGCGGCCGCTAATGAACACCAAACACTTCCGCGTCATCACTACACACCGCAAACACACTCACACACACAGATTAATGCGCTCACCTTTAATTCCGGCCATTATGTAGACTCATAAACACACAAATTAACAGTCTTGAATAAATAAAGCTGCAGAAACTCCTCGCGCTTGTGATGCTCTGCACCGCTAGCGCTGCCTTCCACACTACGCATGCGCCCGACTAGACCACTTCCGGTGATCAAAAACAACATCACAAATGAAACATCAGACGAACAAGTGTAACAAACAATAAATATAAGTAAACAAATATGTACGGATGGACTTATTTCATATTTATATTTAAATAAATATCGATGCAATGTTAACAACATTTTATTTTCTACAGGCATTCATATCAGTAAACTATTTTTTAAACAGTTTTATTTTGAATAGTCGCAGAAAATTAAGATATTTTGTCACAGATTGATCAGCAACAGCTCTCAAACAGCTTATTTTGACATACAAATGACAATTCTTTAGAATTCATAATGAAATACATTAAACCTTTACCTTTACTGTCCGGAAACAGCGTGTCACCGGTAAATGTGTCCGTCAGTGTGTCGTGGGCGATGAAGGTTCCGCACTGAAATGGACGCGGTGAGATGCTACACTCTGGACTTTTTTCCTGAAAACATTTTAATTGATATTTTATCTTATTTAAATGTGCGAGAACTCGTGCGCAACTCCAGGTACAATATCGCGTCATGTCATACAATAACTGTGTTAGTTACACGTGAGTGCAATTCGGTCAGTGACAGTGTTTGTTTTGTTTTGTTTTTTATCGCATATAATGTTTTTATTGAATTAATTTATGTAATGATGATCATGTAGAAACATCCGTTAGCAGAGATTTAACGTTACTGTAACAACTGTGAGAGATCCTGTCGTTTCAGTCACATAATAGACGGCGATCAGACACCGGAAGTCATCAAACACAAACAAACAAAAGAGTGTGATGTTTTCATATATTTTATATATGTGTGTGTAGAGTGTGCAGGCGCTGGAAGCAGCTGGTGAAGGACCAGAGACTATGGAGAGCTGTCGATCTGTCCACATGGAAAAGAGTGAGAGTTTCAACATCTTTATTGTCTTTATGTTGTTGTTTTGTGCTCTACTGTACTTTACTGTAGTGAAGTGTAGTTTACTGTAGTTTACTGTAGTGTAGTTCAAGAGTTTCAGGCTGAAGTGGGCCGGGGAAAAGTCTTGAGGAAAACTAAATGTATAAACAATAATATTAAAATTAATGAATAAATTAGATTAACATACATTTGAATAAGAATCACACACAATAACTCTCTCATTTTATTTTATGTATTTCCATAGAAAATCAAACATAATATGAAGAGTTCAGATGCAAAAGCCTCTAAATGCCATTTGAAATTTTCTTCTTTAATGATGATTTTTATCAAACTTGTCAGTAATTTCACTTCAATAACAATTAATATGTAATCCTCATTGCCATTTAAGTGAAATTACTGAACTTAAATATACAAGCTTGATAAAAATCATCATTAAAGAAGAAAATTTCAAATGGCATTTAGAGGCTTTTGCATCTGAACTCTTCATATATTAAGGCCTTTTTCTACTTTAGTAAATATTTGGACGTGCATATCTGAATCGAGCATTTCCTTAACCTGAACCTTTCCAGGCCATACTTACACCATTTCCTGATGTGTGTGTGTGTGTGTTGCAGGTGACGTCTCGAGTGCTGTGGGCTCTGCTGCGTCAGTATCTGGGTCACGGGCTGCGTCTCCTGCGTCTGCGCGGTCTGCTCCTGTCTGCGCGCGCCGGTGTGTTCCTCAGCGAGTCCTGGCTGCGCGCGCTGTGCTCCAAATGCCCTCGTCTGCGCAGACTCTGCCTCATACACACAGATCTGCGGCCGTTACCCAGCGTCCGGCTGCTGCCGCTCTCACTGCAGGTGCGCTCCGGGAATCAGGATCCAGCGCTCGTTTATCTGTGTACATTTACAAATCATGCTTTTCCCCTTTTGTGGTTTACTGACGCCAGTTATTTGGCCAAGAGATCTCTAGTGTGTGTGTCTCTGGATCACTAACCCAGTCTCGAGTCGCGCGGGAAATCTGTGGAAATCACCAACAATACAGTATATGGGTCAAAATTATAGATTTTTATTTTATGCCAAAAATCATTAGGATATTAAGTAAAGATCATGTTCCATGAAGATATTTCCTACCGTAAATATATAACACATGTGTTTCTGTGAGTGGATGCAGCAATCGTGAACATAAATGCACAACTTTAAAGGATTAGTTCACTTTTGAAAAAACTTTTGCTGATAATTTACTCTCCCCCGTGTCATCCAAGATGTCCATGTCTTTCTTTCTTCAGTCGAAAAGAAATGAAGGTTTTTGATGAAATCATTCCAGGATTTTTCTCCATATAATGGACTTCAATGGGGACCAAACGGTTCAAGGTCCAAAAGACAGTTTCAGTGCAAACTGTTCAAATGTCTTTAAACGATTCCAGACGATGAATAAGGGTTTTATCAAGCGAAACGATCGCTTATTTCAAAACTTATTCCAAAAATGTAACTTTTCTAAGGACAAATGCTAGCCTTGCTCTATTCTGTGAGGCGCGTTTGTAACGTCACGTAATACGTAATTACGTTCAAAAGGTCACGGGCGACGTAGCCGGAAGTACAGAGTCAAAATCGTCCGACATCGTTGTTTTACCTTTTAATTCCTTTTTTTGTAAACGGCGTTTGAGTTAGTTTGCACGTTCAACCTATGCGTTCAACTTGTAAACACTGACTCTGTACTTCCGGCTACGTCGCCCGTGACCTTTTGAACGTAATTACGTATTACGTGACGTTACAAACGCGCCTCACAGAATAGAGCAAGGCTAGCATTTGTCCTTAGAAAAGTTACATTTTTGGAATAAGTTTTGAAATAAGCGATCGTTTCGCTTGATAAAACCCTTATTCATCGTCTGGAATCGTTTAAAGACATTTGAACAGTTTGCACTGAAACTGTCTTTTGGACCTTGAACCGTTTGGTCCCCATTGAAGTCCATTATATGGAGAAAAATCCTGGAATGATTTCATCAAAAACCTTCATTTCTTTTCGACTGAAGAAAGAAAGACATGGACATCTTGGATGACATGGGGGCGAGTAAATAATCAGCTAAAGTTTTTTCAAAAGTGAACTACTCCTTTAACGGAGTTTCGATTTCTGCACCTCAGACTCCAGATCTTCAATAGTTGTGTCTCCACCAATTATTGTCCTATCATACATCACACACATCAAGCTTATTTATTCAGATGCATAAATCTGTGTGTTAGATGTGTAGACTGATGGTCTCTTCTGTCGCAGGTTCTGGAGCTGCACTTCTGTGAGGTGCCGGCCGGCTTCTTCTCGGAGGGCGACGGCGTGGAGACGCTGGTTCTGGACAGCGTGCCGTCGTTCTCGGACCAGCACCTGCGCAGCCTGAGCGCGTGGCGAGGCCTGACCCGGCTGGAGCTGCGCGACCTGATCCGCGTGACCGTGGCGGGCCTGAAGAGCTGCGTGCCGCCCGGCCCACACACACTCGCGCGCCTCACACACCTGGAGCTGCAGACGGGCAGCCGGACCCAGATGGTGGCGCTGGGCCTGGGCGAGGGCTGGCCGGGTCTGGAGCGCCTCAGCCTCGGGGGGAAGGAGGTCGGGCCGGGTCTGCTGTCCCTCGGCCGTCTGCAGGACCTGCGCTCGCTGCGGCTGCGCACATGCAGACTCACGCAGATGATGGTGCTCAGGAGCTGCAGGTGGGTGGAGACACACACACACACACACTCACCAGAACACACACACACTCACTAACTCACAGGAACACAAAACCAGTCACATATCCACTGAGTTCTGCTCATGTGTGTGTGTGTGTGTGTGTGTGTGCAGGTGTTTAACGCAGCTGCGCCTGCTGGAGTTCGTGGAGGTGGAGTTTGTGGAGGACGAGGCGAGATCTGACGAGAGCGACCGACCGCCGGCGAGCGACTCTGACCCCGCCCCCAGCCTCAGACGCGCACTGCGCTCCATGCTCCCCGCCTGCGTCACACACTTCACCCGCTGCACGCGCGCCGTCAACAAAGACTGATGAGGACAGACTGAAACACACACACACACACACCTCGGCACAAGCCTGACGTGCGGAGAACAAGATTTATACTGTATAATAAAGTGCATCTGAACACAGCCGAGGCTCACGCTTCTTTACACTGTTGAGCACGTTAATAAAATACACATGCGCTCAGTTACACACACAAACACACACACTATTACTCGAGAAAAGATCCTCACAGTCCAGCTGAAGTCAGTTCTTCATTTCTGCTGTAAAAAAGTTATTAATTTAGTTCATATATATATGAAGAGTTCAGATGCAAAAGCCTCTAAATGCCATTTGAAATTTTCTTCTAGAATGATCATTTTTATCAAACTTGTATATTTAAGTTCAGTAATTTCACTTAAATGACAATGATAATTACCTAATAATTGTTATTTAAGTGAAATTACTGAACTTAAATATACAAGTTTGATAAAAATGATCATTCTAGAAGAAAATTTCAAATGGCATTTAGAGGCTTTTGCATCTGAACTCTTCATATATATATATCGCCACTCTGGAGAAACCGTGATGTCATCGTCCAGTTCAGCTCAGCTCAGTTCTCATATAACGCTGTCGATCCAGGAGATCAATAATAGTGTTGAATATTAACTATAGATGTCTGTATAGTCCTGAATATAGATATTACACAGTTCAGTAGGGCTGTGTGTCCCATATATCCTTATAAGCTGAGTATTTCATTCATAATAACTTACTTTATATATTTATATATATGGACATTATCAAAGAGTGATGGTGATTTATAGATTGTAGTTCTCCAAAACATTGCTCTGTATGTCCTCATGTTTTAACCCGTGATGATCAGGTGTGAGTATAATTGAGCTTTCCCTGATCATCTCCACGAAAGCCACCGAGTGTACCATTCTGATGAGGTAAAAACATTTTAAAGACTAAAAGTTGAAAGTTTGTAAAGACCATTTCGCAAGATGTAAACAACACTGGTCCAGAAGCACTTCCTGTTTCAGTTTTTTAACACTACATAAAAGCTGGGATAAAATACAACCTACAGAACATTTAAAACTGAATCAAAAAGTTAAACAAACATCTTTAAGATGTTTTCTTTACATGTGAAATAAAGAAAACAGTTACAAACTGAAACAGGAAGTGCTTCTGGACCAGTGTTGTTTACATCTTGTGAAATGGTCTATAGAAGCTATATGTCCTGTTAGTCAACTCGTAGAAATGGCCATTGCCTGATGTATTCTTTAATTTAACTGTGCAATGCATTGATGAATCAGAGTTCTTTTGGTAGCTTTTTTTCCAGAGCTGTCCCAAGATGCAGTGTGTCTTTACAGTGTGTGTGTCTATACAGTGAGTCTATACGCCTTGGGGGAATTCAAGAAAGATTTTTTTGAGATTTTAAAATTTAAAATGGAGGGAAAATTGTATTGGGGAAAATGAAAACAGTAAGCCTACAAGCACAATATGCACCTTCAGTGTGTGTGTGTGTGTGTGTGTGTGTGTGTGTGTTACTCCGCGCCGGCAGGAGGCGATATGAGCTGAGCGCGGAGTTCAGGCCGTTGCTGTGGTAACGCGGACATGCGCGTCTGTGGCTGAACATGATGTGAGTGTAAATAAATCTCTCTTCACTAAAGTTGATTATGGACTAATAAAGGTAACAAAGGTCGTGTAAATAACTGAAACACACATTTATAAGGTTTTGAACATATTTAGAGCGAGACCGCGACTAGTGGAGAAAGTACTGGACTGTAGTGTATGTTATTGTGTGTGTGTGAGTGTGTGTGTGTGTTTGAGTTATGGATGTTGTTGTCGTTGTTCATACTGTAAGAGTGTGTATGTTTATATGTATGTGTTTTGTTGTTTTTACTGTAGGTGTGTTTATCTGTATGTGTGTTGTTATGGTTGTTCATACGGTGTGTGTGTGTGTGTGTGTGTGTGTGTGTGTGTGTGTGTGTGTGTGTGTGTGTTTATGTGAAGGCATTGGGATGTCGGTGGTGAAGAGTCTCGTTCCTGCGCGCTTCCTCACACTCTCCGCACACCTGGTCATCATCATCACCATCTTCTGGTCTCGCGTGAGGACACACACACACACACACAGCTTCTGCTTAGGGATTTATTTGACAGAACTCAGAGAGTGTGTGTGTTACAGGAGAATAACATCCAGTCATGTCTGCCACTGGATTTCACTGAGGACCAGTTCAGAACAGAAGATACACGGTAACACACACACACACACCAGTTCACAACCACATTTATATTTGTCAGCTCATATGAACAAAAGTAAAGAAAATATCAACACAGGAATAGAAATATAACACAGTGTAGCAAATGTTTTTTGCAGGATGTAATGTTTTTTATTCAGTTGGTCTTTGATGATGCTTGTGTGTGTGTGTGTGTGTGTGTGTGTGTGTGTGTGTGTGTGTGTGTGTGTGTGTGTGTGTGTGTGTGTGTGTCAGGCTGGTGGTGGCGCTGTCGGTGACTCTGGGTCTATTCTTCATTGAGCTGGTTGGATTTCTCTCGGGAAGCTCCATGTTCAACAGTAATCAGGCTCTTCTGTGTATCCTTACATCAGTCACGTGTGCAGTCCCGCGCCTCGAGCAACAAACGCTTTGAACGTTCTCCTGAATGTCTCTGATTGCAACATGACATCATGACTTTTGCGTAAACATATACACCACTTTCGAGTCAGGTGGCGTGTTATCTCTACACATTTTGAGCTATCCGCGTGTATCCGAGTGTATCCGCGTATATGTCTACGCCATTAACGTCCGCGTGTCAGTACACGCAGTCAAATCTCCAGTCATAAATGCCATTAACCCCAGTGACGGTTAGGTTTAGGGACGGGGTTGAGGTAAGTCATATATTTATATATACAGTAATAACGTTAAGTCAACGGCGTTCATAAACGCGCTTGAAAGGCGATTATGCGTCTTGATAGCACGCCGAAAATGGAAATACGAATTGGCGTGTCATACACACGCTACTTCATGCGATCAGTCTGCTGATTGGCTGAGGTGTTCTCCCGAATGTCTCTGATTGGCTGAGGTGTTTTCCTGAACGTCGGCTCAGCTCTGGTCACTCACTCCAGCGCCTGCATCAGTTTGTCCTTCTTTGTGTTCCAGCAATGGCCCTGCTGGACGTACTGGATCATATTCAGCCTCTGCAGGTCTGTCTTCTCCTTACATATTTTTATTCTTTAGTATTAAAGTGTCCTGTTATGCTTTTTCAGATTTCATGCAGTGTGTATTACATCTGTTTGTAAATGTAAAAGATAAGAAAGAATCGATTCTGAACCAAAATGAGTCGTCAGTAATTCAGTCTCACTTCCTATGTAGGCTTGTACCTCATTAGCATAATGGCAGCCTGTGGTGTTGATTGGCTGAGCAGCGTCTCTTAGCTCCGCCCTCAAACACTGTAGTGTATCTGCGACTGGAAGAGTTCGGCTCGTGTTGTTCGTGTCGAGAAGACGCTGTTTTCTGAGATTGATACGGTAAAACCCACGCCATCGTTACTGTTTATATCACTGTGATCAAGATATGATAATGAGCGTTTGCTTCCTGACCAATCACAGCAGAGCAGCTCTCAGAGAGGCGGGGCTTAGAGAGAGGAAAGAGCTGAAGCTGCAGTGGAGATTATGAGGAAATAAAGTGTGTTTGATCTTGGAGGAAACTGAACAACATCAGGAGCCTTTAATATAGTGTAATAGGGCACTTTAAAACCATTTATAAGTATATATGTAAGCTTTCCAGTGTCCAACAAATGCATGTTTGTAAAATATAAATGCGTTATATCTACACAACCTTTGGTATATTAAATGAATTCCAGGTGATTTGCGTCATTCTGGCAAATAATAAAGACTTGACTCGACTTAAATGTATTGAAAATTGACATTTTCCCTCTGAATGGAGCTGCATTAGTCATAATTCATCATTATGTGTGTGTGACAGTGTGTTTCCAGCACTCTTCGAGTTCTTTCTGTTCATTTCACTGAAGTCAGTGTGAGATTCTTCAGGACATGAAGACCCTGCAAAAGAAAACACTGGATGAAGAGTTTGCTGGACAGATCGAGACGGTCTCGTGTTCTCCCCGGTGTTTTAGAGAACGAGAAATGGAGAGATTTGAAGCTGTTCAAATCTTCATGTGTTTTAGAAAGGAATTAAACGTACATTTTCACATTGAGTTTGTGTGCATTGTTTTCTTTCATAGTTTTGAGGGCGTAATATACATTTTATACAAAGAAGTTGTATACATTTATTGAAGTCTATTTCTGTAACATGAAAATCAATTGAATGCATTGTTACAAAAAAAAAATGTGATTACATTTAAAGTTGAAAAAATCAGATAAAAGTAATAATTATAAAGTAATGAATATTCATGTCCAAACAATGACTTAGTATTTTATACTTTCGACTTTTATGTCATAATTATGAATATATCACAGCATTGTTTTCTCTTATGTGTCGGAAATGGGATTTCACTACATATATAATCACGGTAATATACATATATGTTAAGAACAGGTACAAATACACAGGAAAAAGATATATATTTAATTTCACACACAGTTTTACATTATATGAGCTGTACAGTCTGCCGCTGTTTGTGTAAAATCTTTGAGGCGGGGCCAAAGTGATTGGCAGGTCTCGGCCCAATGAATGTTCTTTTTAACAGGCCAATCAGCGACGGCGTTTACGGCGGTTGTGCCAATAGCAGAGCGGCTGGGTTTCATTTTAAATCCAGGCGGTTAAACGGAAGAGCTGAGGCGCAGACACAAAAACAGAGGAGTCCTCATCATGCAGGTATAATAACCGCATATTGATCATTTATTTACAGTATATGTTTATATATTTATAAGCGTAGGAGATGTCAGTGTAGCGGAGGTATTGATCCGTATAAAATCAAGCTCTTTGAGCGCCATTGATTGTGCGAGTGAAACTACGACTGCTAAATTAACTCAGACATATAGTAATAGTTGTATTTCGTTTGGTTAAGTTTCCCATATGTGAGCTATCTTATTTTTATTGATATAAGTGCCTTATTTTTATCACGATTGTCTTATTTTCATTGATGGAAGTGCTTTATCTGTTCAGTGTGTGTTGAGTTTGAGATGTTTGTGTTTCTTTAATCAGAATAAAGAGAACAGGGAACCCAGAGCTCTGCAAACACAGGTGACACAACAACAACATGTTATTTATATTCATTTAGCGAGTCATAGTGCAGATTACAGAGATCACGTGCTCTTCTCCAGCTCTACGTCACTGATGTGTGTCTGAAACTCATGTTGTGTGTGTGTGTTGTGTGTGTGTGTGTGTGTTTCAGACTGCTGGTGAGATGAATCCAGACACACACACTATTTCAGGTAAAACCTTGAGAATGTGTCAGAAGCAAACTTTCTTTATAAAGATGTGGATGAGTGCAATATGGATGTAAGGAGGTTTACCTTTCTTCAAAGATACTTTATTGTCTGGCCGGTGACACTGTTTAGTCCGCTTGATTATAAATGATCTTAATAAACACAAACTAAAACACTATTTTTGTTGCATGTGACTGTTTAATCGTTTAAACGATTGTTTGATAGATATAGTCTTCTTTCAGGTCCTGGGAGAGTTCCAGTCAAGTCGAGCTCAAAGTAAGTTCACTTTAAAATTATAGTATGAATATGAAAATGGATTTGTACAATTCTTGATCCAATGTTTCTTGATTTAAGAGCGTTTAGTTGTTTGTACTGGAAAACCAGAGGAAACATTGAGGAAGAACATCAGTGTGTTTAATAATCACTGCTGTTCCAGGAAGTTCTCCATAAAAGACTTCCACATCGGCCGTCCGCTGGGAAAGGGCAAGTTTGGGAACGTGTATCTGGCGCGAGACCGTAAGCTGAAGGCCATCGTGGCGCTGAAGGTCCTGTTCAAAACTCAGATGGAGAAGGAAGGAGTCGAGCATCAGCTGAGGAGAGAGATCGAGATCCAGTCGCATCTCAGGTGTGTGTGTGTGTGTGTGTGTGTGTACACAGAAAACTACAGAATACAGCTCTTTTGTGTTGTCACTCTTATTCAGATCGATCCACATGTCTGCTATTCTCTTTCTCACAGACGTGTGCATTTATTTTTCTGAGATAATGTTTTATGATACAGGCAGGAACATTTATATCTAGTGTTTATTCGATGACAAACATGTCAAGAGATTTCCGGCATCGTTTTTGCCATGCAAAAAAATGTAGTTATACTCTCGCTTTCGTTTGTGAAATTTTTTGTTGTTGTTGTTTTGAAATTAACACTGGTTGGAGATGATCCATGTGTGTGTGTGTGTGTGTACAGGCATCCAAATATCCTGCAGTTCTACAACTACTTCTGCGACGACACGCGTGTGTATCTGATTCTGGAGTACGCGCCGCGGGGAGAGATGTACAAGGAGCTCCAGCGCTGCGGACGCTTCGACGATCAGCGCACCGCCACCGTGAGTGGTCCAGCGCCACAGTCACAAACACTCATGCACATCAATCGCAAATTAAAAAAACGATTTTCTAAGGGTTTAATAATGTGTCGTTTCAAAGAACGTGACGCACATGCTTGCAGCGGAGGAAACATTATGAATGAAGCGTATACATTACAACAGCAGTTCATGGCTATAAATAATGTTTAGTTTAGTTAGTCGAGCACGTCAAGCTCTTTCCGTGTACAGGCAGCCTCAAAAAACACCTTCAGCACAGGAACTCATTTAAACGCATCTGATTGGCCGATATTCAACAGACATGTCTGTGATTGGCTACACTTAAGCTTTACTTTAAAACATTCGGGGCTTAAGCCCCCTTAGCCCAGCCCTAGTGCCACGCATTAATGGTCAAAATATTCATAATTAATTTTAAAATATTAACAAACAAACTTCGAATATGGTTTTGGGGCAAAAGTTAAAGCCCTAGTGTATAATTTAAGATCAATGACATGCGCTTGATTGGGACTAACAGCTGCGGTTTGATTCTCGATTTTAAATCAATTTCAATTTCATATGCATAGATTTGATCATACATTTTAAATCTATATATTTGAAATTTGAGTTGAAATTTGATTAAACTGAATTGAATCGAATCGAGCGTGCGGTTCTGTTGATCTGATGTCGGCGCTGGTCTCCTGTGTGTCCAGTACATGGAGGAGCTGGCGGACGCGCTGAACTACTGTCACGAGAAGAAGGTCATCCACCGAGACATCAAGCCGGAGAACCTCCTGCTGGGCTTCAGAGGAGAGCTCAAGATCGCAGACTTCGGCTGGTCCGTCCATGCGCCGTCGCTACGGTAACGCACACCCCAGAATGCCTTTCTACAAACTCAAGGTCACTTCACAATATGAGACAAAGAAACAAAACAGATAAACTGAATAGGTAACATGATTAATCTGATAAGATCATAACGGATCATAACATCAGGGATCAGAGAAATGTTGAAATCATGTAATGATGGAAGGCCAGATGAAAACGATCATGGAGAGCTTAGAGTGTGTAAAGTGGAAGTTAAAGCCATGTTGACGGATGGTGTGACCTGATGATGAAAGCGTGTAGATGATGAAGAGAAGACATGCTTCACACACATCTGAACATGGTCGTGTGTGTGTGTTTCAGACGCCGAACCATGTGTGGCACGCTGGACTACCTCCCGCCGGAGATGATCGAGGGACACACACACGATGAGAAGGTGGACCTGTGGTGCATCGGGGTGCTGTGCTACGAGTGTCTGGTGGGAAACCCTCCGTTCGAGACGGCCAGCCACAGCGAGACCTACAAGCGCATCACCAAGGTCTGTCCACACACACACACTCTGTACACTGACTCCTATTTACAAGGATGCACAGATATGAAAATATGGCCGATATACAGTGGGGCCAAAAAGTATTTATTCAGCCACTGATTGTGCAAGTTCTCCTACTTGGAATAATGAGAGCGGTCTGTAATTTTCATCATGACAGACAAAATGAGAAATAAAATTCAGGAAATCACATTGTAGGATTTTTAAAGAATTTATTTGTAAATTATGGTGGAAAATAAGTCTTTGGTCAATAACAAAAGTTCAACTCAATACTTTGTAACATAACCTTTATTGGCAATGACAGAGGTCAAAGGTTGCCTGTAAGTCTTCAGCAGGTTTGCACACACTGTAGCTGGTGTTTCGGCCCATTCCTCCATGCTGATCTCCTCTAGAGCGGTGATTTTTCGGGGCTGTCGCTGGCGAACACGGACTCCACACATTGTCTATGGGGTTGAGGAGACTGGCTAGGCCACTCCAGGACCTTAATGCTTTTTACGGAGCCACTCCTTCGTGCCCTGGCAATGTGTTTGGGATCACTGTCATGCTGGAAGATCCAGCCACGTTTTATCTTCAAGGCTCTCACTGATGGAAGGCGGTTTGTCTTAAAATCTCACGATACATGGCCCGTTCACTCTTCCCTCAACATGGATCAGTTTTCCTGTCCCCTTTGCAGAAAAACAGCCCCAAAGCATGATGGCTCCTCCCCCATGCTTTACAGCAGGTATGGTGTTTTAGAGGATTAGAGTCCCTCTCGGTGTAGTGTGTTACTGATGGTTATGGTTGTTACTGAGGTCGCAGCTCTCTGCAGGTCATTCGTCATTTTGACCCCACAGGTCAGGATGAGATCTTGTGTGGAGCCCCAGATCGAGGGAGATTATTAGTGGTCTTGTATGTTTTCCATTCTCTTACAATTGGTTTTCCACACTAAGCTGCTTGCCTATTGTAGATTGACTCTTCCCAGCCTGGTGCAGGTCTACAATGTTCTTCCTGGTGTCCTTCGACAGCTCTTTGGTCTTGGCCGTGGTTGAGTTTGGAGTGTGCCTGTTTGAGGCTTTAGACAGGTGTGTTTTATACGGATAACAGTTCAAACAGGGGCCAATAATACAGGGAACGAGTGGAGGACAGAAGAGCTTCTTAAAGAAGAAGTTACAGGTCTGGGAGAGCCAGAAATCTTGCTGGTTTGCGGGTGAACAAATAATTATTTTCCACCATAATTTACAAAATAAATTCTTTAAAAATCCTACAATGTGATTTCCTGCATTGTTTTTTTTGTTTTTGTTTTTGTTTTTTTCATTTTGTCTCTCATAGTTGAAGTATACCTATGATGAAAATTACAGACCTCTCATTATTCTAAGTAGGAGAACTTGCACAATCAGTGGCTGAATAGAAACTTTTTGGTCCCACTATATATATATATATATATATATATATATATATCTTTAGAGCACACATGCACATCCTGACTAATAGGAATATGTGTTTATATTACAGTTTATTATAAATTTAACAGAAGGCCCCATTTTAACTTGTTTTTGTGGAGTTTTAGCCATAAAGTCACATCCACTTCAGAGATCTTGTGCTCTTCCTGAGTAATATGTTAAGACTCAGACTCACTGAAGACTCGGAGGGTATGGTGATATTTAAGAACATTTCTTTTAAAGTTCTAATACTCAAGGGTTTGAATGTTTTGAAAATGTTAACTTAAACTTGAGGTAAATTATATAAATGGCAGTTTTTTATGATAAATCCTTAATTTCCTCAAGTGCATGAACAAACTCTTTTACATTTTCATGACAAAATAGTTTTTCTCAAGAAACTGACATTATTATAAGATTTAAAATAAGGTCCCCATTTGACTTTTAACTTTGCAGAAATTTAACTTCAGTTACAAAACATCAACTTTAGAGAACAGGTGCACATCCTTATTAATCGTAATCGTAATATATATTAATATTTAACTGATCTAATAATTTCAAGTTCATTAAACAAACTTTTGGGTCCAGTCAAATTGGAGGTTATTGATAGATATTAAGAAATTATTTTCAGATATTTTAATTGTTTTATCTAGGTTTTTAATTTAAGAATACAAAATATTTTTAAAGTTAGAAATTAAGGAAATGTGCAAATTCTCAAGTTTTCAAATATTTTCATGCAGTTGTTCTTAAAGTCAGAATTATAACATTTCAAATTGGCTATCTATTTGTTTTTGTAAATGATTTTAAAATGGTTTTAAATAAAATTTCTGCAAAGTCACGTCATGCAATTGTTTACGTTATTGTTGGTGTCACTTCAAAGAACCCGTGCACATATTGGTAATATGTAATATGTTTTATTTTGAATGAGCCAATACTTTTTTTTTTTTTTTTTTTTTTTTTTTTTTTTTTTTTGACTAATTTGTGGTTATTTCATGAGAAATCTCAGGAGTTCAAATTCTTACGTTTTGTTATTTTGAAGTTTTTGAGAATGCAGAGTATTCTGGACTGTTATTTTATTATTATGTAACTTTGCTCTCCATGTTTGTTGAATGCCCTGTTGACGTCGAGTTTCTTGTGTTTGTCAGGTGGATCTGCAGTTTCCTAAAGTGGTCTCTGACGGCGCCCGCGATCTGATCTCGAAGCTGCTCCGCCACAGTCCCTCCATGCGTCTGCCGCTCAGGAGTGTGATCGAGCACCCGTGGGTGAAGGCCAACTCACGCAGAGTCCTGCCGCCCGTCTACAACTCACAGGCAGCCGCACACCACTGATGACATCAGCGCAAGGACCTGTTTGAGACACTCAGTTTGTGCTGTCACAGTGTCAAAAGTGTGTCTTTGACTGTCAATGAGTCTGAGATGTTTTTTCTCTGCTCATTTACTCTCTTTTATAGCTGTAGATCTGTTCATATTCATGTGCTTTTCTGTCTTCTATGAATGTGTTTTACGCTGAACCTGTCAAATTATATTAAAATCAGAGCTTTTTAGTGTGTTTGGTGTTGTGACTCACTCACGTCACGTGGTTGTTACACTCCTGCACTGATGAATGCAGATGTTCACCAGTTTTATATGTTACGATTTAAATTTTGTGCATAAATTAAATTCACAACTTTGGATGGAAAGGCCGCTAGTGCGTACCTCAAATTTCCTTGGAAAAAAACACTAGTTCACATTAGTTCATTGGTTGGTTGTGGGTGACTGTTTAACTTTGTAAACATTAATGGTACATTTTGCTGTATTGAAGTGTAGTTTTGCATTGCTCTTGATCTACTGTTTTATTGGTATATGCAGTGTGCAAGAAAAGACATTCTTGGTTGTAATCTATTTTGTCTTTTGCTTAAGCCTTGTGACTTTGTACATACATTTTCTCAGGTGTTTCATGCTCACTTTGTTTGCTGCACAACATCTTCTGGAACCGTTCAGTGCTACTTCAGAGTACTACAACCACCTCATTTAATTTTAGAAAATTCTGGCACATGCAATGCTTAATTTGTCTCCAGGTGACCAGGTTTTGTAGACTTGAGTGTCGTCCACATACTAACTGTGATAGCTAATGGTCTTGTCTTCTGTAAGTTTAGCTAGAGGAAGTATGTAGATATTGAACGGTAGCGGTCCCAGGATGGAGCCTTGGGGAACTCCACATTTCATACTTGTACGCTCAGATGCAAAACTAGCTATATATACATCGTAGCTTCTATTCTTTATAGCATGCGTGCTGCGGTGGGCTAAACCAGTTACCACGGTGGTAAAGGACAATTCCACTTCCAACCTGTAGGGGTAACGAAGAGGAAAAGTTCGTTGGTGCTGCTTTAAAGGGTTAGTTCATCCAAAAATGAAAATTAAGTCATTAATTACTTACCCCCATGCTGTACCAACCCCGTAAGACCTTCGTTCATCTTCAGAACACAAATGAAGATATTTTTGATTAAATTTGAGAGCTGTATAACTACCACATTGGCTCCTAAGGGACTGCCTCTTGACGGCCCAGAAAGTCAATGAAGAAAATGTTTAAATATCCCAAGTGACTACAGTGGCTCAACTATAAGTTTATCAAGCGACGCGAATACTTTTTGTGCGAAAAAACAAACAAAAATAACGAGTTTATTCGACTATTTCTTTTCTTCCTTGTAGGCCAGAAACGAGACTTCCTTAGATTTCCACGACGCATGCGCGAGAATTGCGATCTGCTTACACTACTTCAGATCGCAATTCTCTGAAGATTGCAATGGGCTCTATGCACGGCGTTATTTCCGGTGAAGCATTAGGGATGCTCGATAACTTCCGCCGATCATAGAGTCCAATGCAATACCGAGAATTTATATTGAATTTTATACTCCATGGTTATACTAATGAAACGTTAGTCACAAAAACAGATAAAACAGACACCCCTCGTTGTGTTTATGCTTCTTTTTAAAATTATATTAAATAAACATAACTATATATAAAATTACATCTAAACGTATGTACGTTTCGTTTCAAAGACGGGAGGACAGTAAATATTGAAGACTCTGCCATAATCCCGTTTTCTCCGGTTTTCCTCCGCTTTAATCTACACAACCGGAAATGGACGAGCATCCTTACGTCAAATGCGGAACTTATGCGTGCATATAGCCCATTCAGTGCAATTCATGCGTCGTGGAAATCTAAGGAAGTCTCGTTTCTGGCCTACTTCAGCCGTCAGTCTGAAGGTCTGGCTACGCGAGACTACACGAAAAGTGATACAGACACCTTCAGGAGACGGCAGACGCGTCATTCAACCTATTGTAAGTCGATCTACCGTCTCAATGGGTTTTGGTAATATATTATAAAGGTTGAAGAGTTCCACGGTGTGGCTTGTTAAAGTTAAACTATCGCGTACGCGTAGTAGATGAGAGAGGCAATCGGGACGCAAGTATTTATTTTCATGGTGCAAAGTCCAAGTGCGTTGAATGTTCCCCGCGATGCTGCCAGGGCTAGACTCTGGCTCTGGGCGGTTGGTTTGCCATCAAACACGGACACGTCTAAAGATGATCTAAACTATAGTGTGTGCCGCGAACATTTTCTCGAGAGAGCTGCGACAAGTGGAGAATGATGGACTTCGCCTTGTTGACAACTAATCCAAGTGCGTCTTGCGAGTGATGCGGTATCCCGAGGACTTTCTATCCCTTCAGAGGTGTGTGTGTGTGTCAGGCACGTGCAGAGGGGGGGGCGTTGGGTGCTCGAGCACCTGCCCTTTTGCCCCTTGGTGCCCAAAGTGCCCTTTTGTCAAGACAAAATTTCCTCTCCTTTTTTTTGTATTTAAAGGCACTTTTGTCGATGCCTGCCCCATCTAACTAGTAGTAAAATGAATGAATAATAATTTAGCTGTAAATAAAATGACCCACATGATGACCTTTCACCTGATTCCTCACGCTGCACGCGCATTTTATAATTTCGCGCGGCTACGCGCAATCGCGCAATCGCGCATTCCCAGAGGATATCTTCAAGTCTTGCGGCTGCTGGTAAGTGGTGTTCTATTCTCAGCGAAGTGATTTTGATGTTTGTTTACTTATTATTATTATTTTACTAGAACGACGTGAAGAGAGCATGTAAGAGAGATGTTGTTTGTATTGATGTGTGTAGGCTGTAGAAGTAACGTTAGCTTGCTGTTTGAGGGAGAAAAGTTTCACGGGCGTGGAGGGGTGTTATTTGACTAAAAACTATTATTTTTACTTTAAACTATTATTATTATTACAGTATTTATTAAAAAAAATATTTTCACATAAAAATGATTATCACAACTCTGGTAAGTTATCACATAGGCATACCAGTTAGTATCTTATGTTTTGTGTGCAGAAGCCTCTGTGAACATCTGCCCTAGTAACGTTATTATTATATACTATTATTGTATTATATACTTTAGCAGCCTGGGTAGAATCTGTAGCTTTAGCAGGTCAGTGAACTAGTGAGCCAGTTCCAAACACTGTCAGCAATCTTTACATCTTGGAATGGTCTTTACATCTTTACATCTTGGAATCATAAAAATGGTTTATTCAGCTAATACCCTATATTTCTGTTTATTTTAATGTCTACAGTCTCAGATCAACTCCAGCAGTATCAGCAGCAGCAGTAACAACATCAACAGCAAAGGCAGCAAACTCACTTAAGGACTTAAAGTAAGAATTTACCAGAACAGGCATCACATTAATGTTAAAAATCTTGTAAAGTATTAATTGCTGTTTCTGTTTGCTTTGTTTTTTATTTTCATTGTATAAAATGTAACTCTTGTATTTTTGTAAATCAGTTTTTGCCATGAAAAAAGCCACAGATGCTGATATTCCATTAAATAAAACTATACTGTACTGCACGAAACATGGGCCACGTTGATTTTGTCCTACAGTTCACTATAACAGCTGTTCTTTATTATTCTGTATAACAGAGAAGAAAAAGCCATCAGGTTGGAACAACTTAAGATGCTTCAGTTTCTAATCCCAGAGTTATAGATAGAGCACATCAATTATTTTTTTTAATTTTAAACTTTAAATTTGTCTTTTCTGTTCTGGTTCTTTTTCAAAACTGCATCAATGCATTTGCTGCTGTATCGATGCAGAATCATCTGTATTGAAATATTACTGTATTGATATTTTGAGCACAGCCCTATAAAGCCTTGTTTCCATGCCCCATTTTATACTTTGAGCACCTGCCCCTACAGAGGTCTCTGCACGGCCCTGGTGTGTGTGTGTGTAAAATGAGAATTCATCCATCTCCGCAGAGCCATCTTTATTATGAGGTTTTAGAGGGCACGTAGACTATACACGGAATGATTTTTTTAAGCGGAAAATTAATATTTTTTTCTGAAATGTATTTATAGTGTCTATATAAACCACTATATATTTTATAATGACATTATAATTATGCATGTAGCCTACATTAATATGTTTTAATTAGAATTACGATTACTGTAGGCTAATATATGTAGTAGGACGTTCAGTTACTTTTGAAAGGACGATAATAAAGTGTCAATGTACTTCATAAGACTTTAACTTTGCCAGCTATATATTAAAATCTAGCATTTCCTCACGTTTTACCATTGCTTTTTAGTGACAGTCGAAATGCATGGGAGAGTGACAGTGATGGTCATACCACACCCACTCCCTCCCTTCTTCTCACAGCTAGCCACGCCCATTTCAGTTGCATTTTTAAAAAAGATTTTGAGCTAGACTTGAGCTGAAAGAGGGGGGTTTCATGACCCTTTAACCTGCAACACAGGACAACAACAAAAACAGCTTTGAGTTTTGAGCTATATTTTTCCCCCACACTCTTTAAATTAGTCACAGTCACAAATGAAGACGAGAGATTTTTTTCCTCTCAGCACTCCTGTATTTAGTCAGTTTGTAAGAGTTGTGATTTGCTGTTTTCTTCAGCATCAGCTTTTACAGGGTTAATGAGGAGAGTTTAGGAAGTGTGTATGAGGAAATATAAGAGTTGCCAAGGCTGATGTTCTGCATTAAAGCTTTCAACGAAAAAGCTCCTTTGTTCATCTGAATGAAGACATTACATGAGGGGAGAGTGGGAACGATTTCCCAGAGTTTCTCAGACACCGTTTTTATTGGAAAGCAAACATTTTTATATGTATATTTCTGAAATACATTCGGCTACATGGACACAGTAACCTGTGATAACAGAACACACTAAATTATAATGTAGACAAATGCATTTTCTGTAAAGCTGCTATGAAACATGCCGTATGATGACATATATTTATCCAAATGGCACATTATATCATCTAAAGATTACAGTTATGCATGCCTGATGTTCTTTAATTCTACAGATTGTAGATTTTTGCTCTGGATTACAATATTGTTTATTGTTACGAATCTGCTCTGAGAAGAGGGTTGAGATTCAAACGCAGCTTTATTTGAGTGAAATCCAGAGGCGTAATCCAGTGTACAGGCAAGGGTCATACACAGATAGGCAGTCCAAAACAGAGAAACAAAGAAACAAACAAAACAGGCAGGGGCAAGAGAGAAATCCAGGGAACTGGGCACGATATCAAAAACCAGGAGATAAGAAAACCATGAGAACGCTCAGAAATGCAGTGTAACACGTACAAGACTTCGCAGAATGTGAACACAAGGTATTTATAGACAGACTAACAGGTGAATGCAATCAGTGAATGAGGTACAGGTGAATGTGATCAGTGATGATGAGTTCGGGCAGTGAGTTCTGGGAAATGTAGTTTGTGAGTGATAATAGTCTTATCTGGAGTGCCCTCTGCTGGCTCAAAAGGGCACTCCAGCTGGTGACCGTTACAATAATAACTGCACACTATTAATCATTAGTTAAGCATTAGTAAACAGTTAATTCATCATTTATAAAGCGTTCATATACATTATTAAGCAGTTTATAAATACAGAGATATATATGCTTTATTCTTGATTTAAAAGCATATCTATGATGTGTTTAATAATTGTATTTTCATGATCAATTTATCCTTTTTAAATGAAGTAGCCTACCATTAAACCAGTTATTTAGGAGTTGTCAGTGATTCATAAGATCACTTAGAAAGTGCCAGTAAATGATTCATAAACTATTTAAATTGTACATAATTTATCTTATTATTCAAACATATAGTAATAGTTACTTGGTGTGTTAATAAATGCTTTACTAACATGTAATTATACTGTAATTCATGGTTAATGCAGGCCGTTATAAAGTATTTAGTAGTGGTCAGTCAACTATTTCTGTGAGCTCAACTAAAGTGAGGACTAGTTATGACTCGTAAAGCATTTATAAAGGAGATTTTAAGGCTGTTAATATTATATGTTCTGTATCACTGTGTTGTTTTTGTTACATGTTTCTGTTTAGACATTAATAGATAGATAGCCTAGCCTACATATAGCTAATAGCCTATATATATATATATATATATATATATATAGGCCTAAATATATAGGCTATAGAATGTAGAATTTTAAAGAATGTAGAATATAGAATTTTAATTTTCAGCCACAAATGACAACATCTGGCCCATCATCATCATCAACACCAATAGAAACACAGGACAGTTTATGGGAACATTTTGATGATTGTATCCGTGAGACCCAGATGATACACAATGCTATGCACTGTAGAAGTGAAAAAATACATTTTTGCTCAGAACTCATGATCCCCTAACTCACTGGAAAGAGAGAGCAGTGATCTTTCCTCATTTGTATGTCCTTGCTAAAAAAAATATCTTTGCATGCCGGCAACAAGTGTCTCTTGTGAGAGATTTTTTTCAAAGGCTGGAGAAATTATCTGTAAAAAAAAGAAGTAGGCTGAGTCCTTTGACAGCAGAGAAATTAGAAAGTGAGACATTGTGGCTTGATTTATTTTATTAATATTAATTTTCCATGACACTAAATAACACTATGCAATATGAAGAGACTACGGGTAACAAGCTTCATATATTAGAAAAATACAGTAATAAAAAACACCGTCGAGACGGGTGACAAAATACAAGGATTCCAGAAAAAGTGATTAAACAAACAGGGTATACATGGACAGACACTAACAAGGTGAGTAATGAATAATGAGTCCAACAAGGGTGATGGGGATTGTAGTCCAATAGTGACTGACACCTGTGGGGGAAAAAGACCTCTAGTGGCTACCTAGGGGACATCACCCAGACACTGTGACCTTTTGTTTTGTGTCCACAAAACAAAAGGTCCAGAAGGGAGGTGGAACAGTGGAGGATCAGGGGGAGGGATGGGGGGCCAGGTCCATGAAGGGGAACAGGATTAGGCTTAGCCGGCGGCCAGGGTGAAACGGATAGTCCGTCGGGCGACCAAGGCGAATCGACGGCGTGCCAGGGTGCGATTTTATTTACTTTTTTATTTATTTATTTATTTATTTTTTGCAGAGTGGTAGGGAAAGACTCATGAATTTTTATTAGGGAACTCATCCCTGATAAAATAACCGCTTTTCTGAATAACACTTCAACGTTACAATGTGATTTAATTATCTGAACGCGCTTCTCCTGAACTTTGTTAATAAAACATAATTTCATGCATTACAACATTTCGCCCCATCTGTCACGGGTGTGCAGGGAATCATAGATGTTATGAGTTCTGCTCTTTCCTCTTGATAATAGATGCCAGTAATGAAGGTCGTGCGTTCTTCACCGTTCTTGTACTGTCGGTAGAGCTGACCAGAGCACAGGGACTGAACTGTAGAGGTTCTGCTTTTAATCTCAATAGTGCAGGAATGGTTCGGAGGAATCTCTACCTCTGTAGTCACGGAGTGCAGGTCCTTATCAGCGTTAGATGTCGTTTCAGAATTCAAGCGACTATAGTCATATTTACCAAAAAAATTTCCAGTAAATTTTACAATTTTTTTTAAAAAACCAAAGGCTGATGCCTTCACCGCTCCTCCAGCCGCATGCGTGCTGCTGTTTAGGGAAGATTTTGTTTTGTCGATGCCTTGATCAAACTTCACCAATTGTTTGGCAGGCTTGCAGTTCTTGTTCTCAGCTGTGACCCGTTTCATCACTTCCATCTTGTCTGGCTTTAACTTTTTTTTGTCTACACAATTATCACTTTGAAAATCCTGACCTTTTATGTCCATGTTTAGGGTGAGAACTTCAGAACTTTTTTTTAAACTGTCTCTGGTCATAGAACGAATACCATTGTTATCTTTTGCAATGTAGAGACTTTTACAAATGATTATTGGGTGAAATGGAATCTGGCCTTGCTTTATATCTGCCCATTTTTTCCACTCTAAAATTTCAAAGTGGTCTTTATTCACTAGAAATTGACGTTCCTCCTTATCACATGAGATCATCTCTGAAATTTTAAATGCTTTTACTTCAACATCACTACATTTCCCAGATCGAATAATATAATATTCGTCATTGTTATGAGAAACAGTAACTGCATGTTCAGGAGGATCTGTTGATGTAACAAACTCCAAGTACGTGTCGAACCCAACACGGCCCTCCTCTTTCTCAGCTGAAGCACGAGGATCAAGGCAATCATGATGGTTAGAAGAGTCTGCAAGACAAAACCAAAAGAAATACAAAGACTGATAACTTATTTACAATAATTTTAAATAAGTATATCTTCACACATGGATCATAGTTTAGTTTAGGAGTTCTGCAGAAACACCAGAAGTGAAGATGAACACACCAGTGTTGGAGAGATCCTCTGAGTTCCCCCCATCATACAGTGTGGAGAAGTGTATCAGAGCGAAGATGAAGAGCACGCTGAAACCCATCATTCAATATCTGTGAAATATCAGCAAACAGTCACGAGAAGAGGAGACTGATGGACATTAACATTTCTATTAACTCTTTCTCTTTCTTTCTTTTTTTAAAAAATGTTACCAGCCACCGATTTTGAGTTTCACGGCTGATAAAAGCACATTTAAGTCAAAGTCAAATTAAAATAAAAAACGTGAGCAAAACCAACCTCAGTTTACTGGAATAATATAATATTATTATCTGGTGATCTCTAAAAATGCCTTCAGCGCTTAAAGGGGATAATTATCTAATTAGGAAACGTTAACCAATTAGAAATACAGATAAGAACTTGAAGCAAGATATAGAGTTAAAGTAGACAGGAGAGTAAACGAGTAGTCAATAAAAAAGAAGAGTTCAAATCAGCTCCGGTGGATATAAATAATATACTGTGATGTTTCAGCTTGTTCTCATCGATGTTTGACAAATCCAGAAGATTCCTGAAGTTCCTCTAAAAAACCTGACAGTGTCGGCAGAGCAGATCTATCAGGGCAGACTTCAGTACTTTCACTGAGATCATCAAACAATCAATCGCAAACTGAGATTTTGATGCTTTTACTTTGATTTTTAAAACTGTTATACATTAAATGTTAGTAATGGTGAATAAATCTATGCAAATGTAGTACTCACGTGTCTACTGTTTCAGTGAAGTAATCTGTCTTCAAACGCCAGCAGTCTGACAACACGAACCTCACTCGATTTGACCGAATTACAGAAACCACTCCTTAACTTACAAACTCAAGTGTGCGTCTAGTGTCAAGTGTGAGTATGAGGATGCCTGAGCTGTGCAGATGAAGGTCAGGAAAACTGTTGGGACGTTTTATAGAGCGAGATCTAATACGGGAACCAAAACTATTCAGGGGTGTGTTTTCTGAAAGCATCGTTAGCCAAATATGGTCACAACAAGATCCGTCGGTATCAGCAGTTTAACGAGTCGGTATTTCCCGAAATCATAGTTCCAACAAACGTCAGACGTCGACCTGTGGTTAATAGCAGACTTTCCTGTTTGCATGACATGTGGACTCAATACATTTTTATTTTCGAGCCAAAAGTTTACCTGAAACACACTCCGTCTGTCTTGGTGAGTTTCCCGTAAAATCAGTAGGCTAACTCACTGCGGTCGCCGGTAAGCCAAGACAGACGCCCAAAAATAACACATGCGTCTATGACTATCTATCTGTCTGTATCTAAAATATATTTATTTATTTATTTATTTTCTATGTCATATTTTACTACTTCAGAGGCCTATAAAGATCTAAATTCTAAGAAGAAAACAACAAATGAAACGTTTTTGTTTTTTTATAGGGGACGTCCCATAAAGTATACAGACCTCATATCAAAAAATTTTACGGCAGCTTTTTTTTTTTTTTTTAAATCACATTATTACAGTTTAGAGGCCCATAAAGACCTAATTTCTCATTTCTAGGGCTGTAGTCAAGACCACCTTTGTTGAGTCCGAGTCAAGACCGAGTCCAGGAAAGGAAAAAATAGTCTTATGCATTACATTATCAAGACAATCATTTTGGGTTCCCTATTGGTCAGTCACTAAAACGTAGGTCATAACTGACCAATAGGAATCTCGCTAGAGAGCCAATTTACTTCCCAATGCACATTGGCGTGCAATCATTTGCATTAGCTGCGCAGCCTCATTAGCGAGGGTATATAACAAGCAGCTGCTGCAATTGCACTTCAGCTTTTTGCTTCTGAGCGGACACTTCGATGCCTCTGCTGAGAGTGAATACTAATCTCAACAAGACCTTCTGGACCTCTCCTTTTTCGTTTGCAGGCGTGATGGCACGGCAGCGCGAGCAGTTTCTCTTTCTCTCTCTCTCTCTCTCTCTTTGAGCAAAAACAAAAAGCTGTTTTAACAGCTGGTAAGATTAGAGAGATTAGACCAGCTAGAGAGATTAAGCGCAAGCACGGGTGCACATGCCCGTCTGTGACCGCTGCAACTGTTCCCCTGCATGCTTCAGCATCACTGAGAGTAGTCCCTAAAAGAGCTTACACAGATAGTTCGTGTCTGTTTAAAGATGATGTTCTATCTGTGTGTTTCTGGATGCGGTCCTTACCTGGGATCACGGGATGGTCACGAACGTTGTGTTGTGTGTCTGGGCTTCGAACATGCACAATCAGCGGTGCTTTCCTTCTTGCTGCAACGGTTGGACTGAAGACTCCCTCCACCCTCAAAGTTCATGCTGCCGCCATTTCAGCTTATCACGACCACATAGATGGCAAAACAGTTGCAAAGCACGACCTGGTCGTCAGGTTTCTTAGGGGGGGCAAGACGATTACATCCTCCTCGACCCCCACCTCCCCCCCCTCCATACCCTCTTGGGATATTTCCCTGGTGCTCCAAGTACTTCAGGACGTTCCCATTGAGCCTTTGCAATCAGTAGACTTAAAGCTTCTTTCCATGAAGACTTTGCTGCTAGTTGCATTGGCCTCTGTCAAGAGTGTAGGTGACCTGCATGCATTTTCGGTTAACGAATCGTGCTTGGGCCGGGTGACAACCATGTGGTATTAAGACCCCGGCCTGACTATGTGTCCAAGGTTCCTACCACTCCCTTTAAAGACCAGGTAGTGGACCTGCAAGCGCTGCCCTTGGAGGCGGCAGACCCAGCCCTGGCTTTGCTCTGTCACGTTCGCGCTCTACGTATGTACGTGGACAGAACTTAAAGCATCAGGACCTCAGACCAGCTCTTTGTCTGTTACGGAGGCCAGCAGAAGGGAAAGGCTGTCTCCAAGCAGAGGATGGCCCACTGGATAGTGGATGCCATCGCCTTGGCTTACCAACCTCAAGGTGTGCCCTGCCCGTTCAGGTTGCATGCACACTCCACGAGAGGCGTTGCATCCTCCTAACAGATATCTGTAGAGCTGCGGGCTTGGTGACACCTAACTCGTTCGCTATATACTATAGCCTATGTGTAGAGCCGGTCTCCTCCCGTGTTCTCACCCTAAACGGGTAGAAGCACTGAGAGGCCTGGCTCTGTCGGCTTGCTGCACCCTACTGTGCAACCTTATTGCTCCAGAGTGAAAACCCCTCAGCCCGGACATGGCAGAGCGTCCGGAGCCAGGCCCCTGTCCGCTGAATCCTTGAGAGCCGGACCAACATCACGGAACAACAGTGTCAGACACTCCCCATGTAAACCCTTCTCCTAATCCTCACCTGTCTTCTGTCGGCCTGGGTCCCGAGAAGAGGGCCAGCTTTGTTGGAATCTGAGAGAACCAGTTATGCTGTTGAATCCTCACCTGTCTTCTGTCGGCCTGGGTCCTGAGAAGAGGGCCAGCTTTGTTGGAATCTGAGAGAACCAGTTATGCTGTTGAATCCTCACCTGTCTTCTGTCGGCCTGGGTCCCGAGAAGAGGGCCAGCTTTGTTGGAACCTGAGAGAACCAGTTATGCTGTTGATTCCTCACCTGTCTTCTGTCGGCCTGGGTCCTGAGAAGAGGGCCAGCTTTGTTGGAATCTGAGAGAACCAGTTATGCTGTTGATTCCTCACCTGTCTTCTGTCGGCCTGGGTCCTGAGAAGAGGGCCAGCTTTGTTGGAATCTGAGAGAACCAGTTATGCTGTTGAATCCTCACCTGTCTTCTGTCGGCCTGGGTCCTGAGAAGAGGGCCAGCTTTGTTGGAATCTGAGAGAACCAGTTATGCTGTTGAATCCTCACCTGTCTTCTGTCGGCCTGGGTCCCGAGAAGAGGGCCAGCTTTGTTGGAACCTGAGAGAACCAGTTATGCTGTTGATTCCTCACCTGTCTTCTGTCGGCCTGGGTCCTGAGAAGAGGGCCAGCTTTGTTGGAATCTGAGAGAACCAGTTATGCTGTTGATTCCTCACCTGTCTTCTGTCGGCCTGGGTCCTGAGAAGAGGGCCAGCTTTGTTGGAATCTGAGAGAACCAGTTATGCTGTTGATTCCTCACCTGTCTTCTGTCGGCCTGGGTCCTGAGAAGAGGGCCAGCTTTGTTGGAACCTGAGAGAACCAGTTATGCTGTTGATTCCTCACCTGTCTTCTGTCGGCCTGGGTCCTGAGAAGAGGGCCAGCTTTGTTGGAATCTGAGAGAACCAGTTATGCTGTTGAATCCTCACCTGTCTTCTGTCGGCCTGGGTCCCGAGAAGAGGGCCAGCTTTGTTGGAATCTGAGAGAACCAGTTATGCTGTTGAATCCTCACCTGTCTTCTGTCGGCCTGGGTCCCGAGAAGAGGGCCAGCTTTGTTGGAACCTGAGAGAACCAGTTATGCTGTTGATTCCTCACCTGTCTTCTGTCGGCCTGGGTCCTGAGAAGAGGGCCAGCTTTGTTGGAATCTGAGAGAACCAGTTATGCTGTTGAATCCTCACCTGTCTTCTGTCGGCCTGGGTCCCGAGAAGAGGGCCAGCTTTGTTGGAACCTGAGAGAACCAGTTATGCTGTTGATTCCTCACCTGTCTTCTGTCGGCCTGGGTCCTGAGAAGAGGGCCAGCTTTGCTGTGAATCTGAGAGAACCAGTTATGCTGTTGAATCCTCACCTGTCTTCTGTCGGCCTGGGTCCCGAGAAGAGGGCCAGCTTTGTTGGAACCTGAGAGAACCAGTTATGCTGTTGATTCCTCACCTGTCTTCTGTCGGCCTGGGTCCTGAGAAGAGGGCCAGCTTTGTTGGAATCTGAGAGAACCAGTTATGCTGTTGAATCCTCACCTGTATTCTGTCGGCCTGGGTCCTGAGAAGAGGGCCAGCTTTGTTGGAACCTGAGAGAACCAGTTATGCTGTTGATTCCTCACCTGTCTTCTGTCGGCCTGGGTCCTGAGAAGAGGGCCAGCTTTGTTGGAACCTGAGAGAACCAGTTATGCTGTTGAATCCTCACCTGTCTTCTGTCGGCCTGGGTCCTGAGAAGAGGGCCAGCTTTGTTGGAATCTGAGAGAACCAGTTATGCTGTTGAATCCTCACCTGTATTCTGTCGGCCTGGGTCCTGAGAAGAGGGCCAGCTTTGTTGGAACCTGAGAGAACCAGTTATGCTGTTGATTCCTCACCTGTCTTCTGTCGGCCTGGGTCCTGAGAAGAGGGCCAGCTTTGCTGTGAATCTGAGAGAACCAGTTATGCTGTTGAATCCTCACCTGTCTTCTGTCGGCCTGGGTCCTGAGAAGAGGGCCAGCTTTGTTGGAACCTGAGAGAACCAGTTATGCTGTTGATTCCTCACCTGTCTTCTGTCGGCCTGGGTCCTGAGAAGAGGGCCAGCTTTGCTGTGAATCTGAGAGAACCAGTTATGCTGTTGAATCCTCACCTGTCTTCTGTCGGCCTGGGTCCCGAGAAGAGGGCCAGCTTTGTTGGAACCTGAGAGAACCAGTTATGCTGTTGATTCCTCACCTGTCTTCTGTCGGCCTGGGTCCTGAGAAGAGGGCCAGCTTTGTTGGAACCTGAGAGAACCAGTTATGCTGTTGAATCCTCACCTGTCTTCTGTCGGCCTGGGTCCTGAGAAGAGGGCCAGCTTTGTTGGAACCTGAGAGAACCAGTTATGCTGTTGATTCCTCACCTGTCTTCTGTCGGCCTGGGTCCTGAGAAGAGGGCCAGCTTTGCTGTGAATCTGAGAGAACCAGTTATGCTGTTGAATCCTCACCTGTCTTCTGTCGGCCTGGGTCCCGAGAAGAGGGCCAGCTTTGTTGGAACCTGAGAGAACCAGTTATGCTGTTGATTCCTCACCTGTCTTCTGTCGGCCTGGGTCCTGAGAAGAGGGCCAGC